AGTCATTGGTAATAATGAGGTTACAGTTAAGATCATTGATAGTCATCCGAGTATAAAACTAAACAAGATTGGTATGTCACTGCAATGGTTGAAAGAATCAAGTGCAGTAGAGATTGCTTTCAATGGTCAAAGCATCCATGGGCGGAACGTTTGTGGATTGATGGGAAATAATAATGATAATCCAGCAGACGATTTGATGAAACCCGATGGGACCATCGTCACCGACGTGTACGAGTTTGGAAACAGTTGGGTAGTGCCAGGCAGGTGAGCGTGATCACATTGATAATATGAAACGTTTTTTTTTATAGAATCATGTGTAACATTTCACCTTTTGAATGTGTGTATGCATTGTCTAATTCAGACTAGTGTTGTCTATGCGATTACATTGGATAGTATACGGAACGTTCGCATTCATCTTTTTGTTCGGAACGATTTTATTTGTTATTTATATAGCATATTTACATATTTATATGTAAATTGTTTTGAGTGTTTTTCATTAGATCAAAGACTAATTACTGCATATATTTCGGTGGATAACATTTATTTATGTTTAAACCCGTATCATTAAACTGCAAGATGAATCACAGAAGCAGAGGCGGTAGAAGCTTTTATTGACTGTTGGGGCGAAGATTTTATGTGAATGTCAACAAACCTCGAACGGGGTCGGACCAAAGGCGCGACCATTCTGGGTGTGTGCGTAGGGGCGGGGTCCGGCCCCCCGGGAAAATGTTGAAATATAGACCCTCTGAAACGCTGTTTCCTGCATTTTGGGGAGAAAATGTTGATGGTATATTTCCCACGACCTATTTTTCCCCACTGCCCCACGGTGCCGCGTCCACTGAGAAGTATTTGTGTGTGACACATGTTTGAATATTTCATATTATACTAGTCACTAATTACCAAGTCAAATTAGTCATATTCATAATTTTATTATTTTGTTCTTTATGTAGCTGCCCATAACAACGAATGATGCTGATGACACGAATGTACTGAACACCCAAACAACTAAAATTCATTCATAAAAAGATGTGACGGGATCAAGATCAATATTTTGCTTGTTTTTCAATATACATGCATGTTATATTGTTGTGGCTGTAGAAACATTTGTAGTTATGACATGGTTGGCCTGCATACGTCACAAAATCTAGTTGGATGGAACAGAGGTGCAAACAAATGCGTTGTAGTCGGTTAATTCGTTATTAAAACATATAATTTAACTTTTAATGAGAAAATATGATAACTAAGGAATGAGCTCGTTTTCTTGTTAACATAATATATAGTTTATTTTGCGTTGGGATTATATAAATAATGTAATATTTGTAGTTTAATGTGGAAAAATAAAAGGTTTTTGGAAATGCATTTCAAGTTCGTTATTTCGCAAGTTATTAAAAATGAAATATATACTTTTCGCAACTATACTATAAAATTGTCTCTCACTTATGAGTAATATATTTTTCTCAATCCCAATGCAAGAGACTGCTGTACGTATGCACACTATGTCGACAATGCGTTAAGAACACAGTCTTCTGTCGTCCATTCTACGAAACCAAGGAATTTGTAGAGCACCAAACCATAGCCTACGAAAGCTGTTCTGGCAGATACAGTGAGCGCCTGTTTTAAAACATTAACACTGTCACTGTGGTGTAGACCTAAGAATGCAAACAGAAAGCGTACTTGACAGTGGTTTTGTTTTATATTGTATTGTGTATTGTCAACAAAGGAGAACAAAAAAAAGTTCAGGTCAACGAAAAGCGTTGCGCAAAATTGTTGGATCAGTGATCCATTCTGCTTTGAATGACTTGTGAAATATTAAATATATATGTGATGTAAGTGTATTAGTTACACGCCATGGGTATCACGCGTAACTATCTAATATCATAATATGCGTAATAAATATATGCCTAAACAGGATGCTGCGCCATCTATATTTGATTTCATCACTCATTTGTCATGTTATTGATAAAGCTATGACTTATCAATAACGGCGTCATGAGGGTTGTAAAAACATATTAAACAGCGCCGCCCCGACAAATTGCGCGCGCGTCTGTGTTCCGCTATAAATGAGAAATTGCGCTAAAGGGGTATATAACAGCCATTCCATTTTCGGACACAGGACGCACCGTCTTATAGACTGCACTCTCCACACATCAGATTTGTCGGGAAGGGGGGGGGGGTATGACAAAGATTTCAGTAAGTTTCTACCAAGCCAGACGCCCAATGATGTAGATGAACTGTTCACATGTACCAGCTTGGTAATACATAACAACTCATTTGAATGAATATCAATCAAGGACATGACACGGGAGGGTACCTTACCAACTCAGACCTTGGTACAGTCTGCAGAGAGGTGTCACATGACCGACAGTGCTATTTAATATCATTATCGATCACCGGACAGTAGAATTGTTTTCTGTACAGCCAAAATACCTTCGAGTCATCGGTCAGATAGAAAGGTCAAAGACCGGCCAATTGATCGACGACATTTCCAATTCAATAATAGGAGATAGTAATAAATAGTAAAGTGTTGTTAAAATTGTAACCAAGATATGCGTGAGTGTCTGCCGCGGCCTCGCACTACGCCATGCTATATTTCGACTGTATGTGCATGATTGCGTAGGGGTGCATACCTGGAGTACATGTACATAGTCATATCGTTATTCTATCATGAGTGCCTTTAAACCATCAAGGTAGATATTATTGGCAACAAGCCAGTCTGTGTAATAGTTTTCTTTTCAAACGCTACGAAAGGCCGGTGATTTGATGAATACTTTGAAGCCAAATGAAACGTAGAGACGCAGTGATCATGAACATTGCTGGAAGGCTTGTTGTTTCAGTGACGTTAGCCAAGTGATATACGATGTCCACTTGGCGGGCAATATACCATGTAATATCCATTTTTATTCAATGTCATGTGACCGAGTCTCAACCAATCACAGTAGCGTTACAACAGTGAAATAAATGTTAGCCATCCTGGAAGGTGGTGTCAAGTTATTTTATTGTGACTGTATGACTGAAAACAGACCTGAGACCAGAGATATACTTGTTTGTTTATGCAAACTGTGACATTTACTGAGGAGACGCCGCCGAGGAAATACAAGTCACGCTCTTCTTTCGTTACTTATTATGCAAATATTGTGTGGTACTACTCACTACAAAAAGCAGACCAAACCTATCTCTCTGTACTCGCGCTCTGTAGACATACTGCCAACACGTTTATCGTATTTACTGGGATAAATCTCTTCTGTTTAACCTTAGTTAGTTAATCATAATATCTGGGGACCTAGTCGGAAGTTGACAATATAATTCGTATGATGCAGATCTTATTTATGCCTTTCAAAATATTTACGATATTTTGACTGACTATTCATAAGCCTTAAAGATGAGTTGAAGCCGTTAGGTGTGATCATTTATAAAAGTGTTGGTCTTCTGTACGCATAAATAATGAGTTTGCTGCAAGGCTTTGACTGGAATCTAACTGTGACACAAAACGCATACAAAGGCAACGCGTGGTGTATATGATGCCTAGTGATAAAGTTTGCTAAGCCTTATTGGCAACGAATTGAAATGAGTTTAAACTTTCCATGAATTAGATGTGTTGACAATTATGGTTTTGATAGATTAGATGTCAGAGCAAATTAGCTGGGCTGGCAGATGCATTGTTTATTTTTCAGGCTAACAAACGGCAAGACGCAATGGGGAACCAAGGTACTATTGAAACATTATGATTCACGTTTAACGTACACAGCCTTTAAATCCTGGACATAATGGTTGCCTATTTTGTCAACAGCACTGTAAGTTTGGAGGAGAGGTGCCTTATCACTTTAATGAAGAAAACACTAGGACATTTTGGGCTTCAATTTTGACCGATTTTAATTGTATAAAAATGCATAAATGCGTAAAATTACTTCTACATGTTAACTTCACTTGTGTTGCATAATGGTTGTACGGATAAGATTTTTAGAACAGGAAAGTTTACCATTTATGCATTCTTTAGCAGACTATGAGTGAGCTTGATTTCGTTGAAACAAAGTGATATCATATATCCGTATGCATAGAACATTATGAGTCGTTGAAGTATGTGTCACTCATTTTGGTGATGTGTATTGCATGCATGGAGGAGGAAAGCAAGGCCCAACAATCTAGTCCGCTCCTGTCACCCACTAAAATACCTTGTACTCAGAGCATTCGTCCTGGTGTTATGTATTGAAAATTGTGCCTTAAAAAGTGAGTACCTCCAAGTGATTTGCATATGCGAATAAACTAGCTGCTAACATTACACAGCAATTATATGTGTTAAACCAATTGTATTACATGAGACTTGCCTATTTCAAAAATTACTTCCACCATGTAATCTAACATTCAACCCATTTACTAATTTCTGAGAAAAAATAATTATATTCTGTATCAATAGTACGCGTGCTTTCTAGGCTTGTTCAATGACAAAAATATGTATTTTCAGAACACACCATTAGTGTAGACTGAGGTAAGGGTGTAAACATAACAATTTTGCTCATCATTTCTGGCTCTTGGATTCTAACTATGAGAATCGAAAATTTGCAAATAAGTCACAATAATAATTTAATCACATACATAGGCTTAAAACCTGCAAATTGTAGTACAAACATCCTCTTTGGCATGAATGTAGTCCATGATCATATAAAAAATTTAAGATATAGACACAAGCTGGGGTGACCTTTTTTAACCCTCATTTGCATAAATTAAAAATGGCCGCCACCAGCAAATAGTATACTTACGTATTTATCAATATATCTGGTTCTTGTCAGGTTATTTGTAATATGTAAGGATCTATATGTATGTTTTTGATGACAGATTATCTGATAAAATAGTAACGTTGGTGACATGAGATTTATGACCCTACAGCATAGGTCAAGGTCAATTTTAAGCCAAATTTATTATTTTAGTCATATCTCTAGATCTGAATAAGATATCTTCACTCTTTTAGTGTCCAGATGTATGATTATTATGCTGAGCAATTCAATAAAATTGTGTCCTTTGAGCTGTATGGTCAATGTTGGAGCCTAAGAGAGGTTACCATTATTTTGGACTGTTTAGCTATGCTTTGCAGTGACAGTCTTTGACTACGATTCTAAACTCTTCATCGTCATTGGGTGTGAATCTCGTAGCACGCGGTAATCTTAAAAACATAAACAAAGTACAAACAACAGTCCCATTTAAATAAATATTTATTCAGTTATTGGGCTAGTTATCATTACACCTCAGATTAGTTCTTTCATATAGCATCACTTGATACATTATCGTGAATTACTTATATTATTAC